CTTCGGTGCGTTTCCGCGGCCAGGGGGGAGTGGCGGGGCGGCTCGGCGGGCCCCGGGGGGCGGAGCCGGCGGCGGCGGCGGCGGCGGGGCGGGGTCCGGGCGGGGTCCTCCGGCGGCGCGGTCGCCGGGCCCCCGGCCGGGCGCCCCCTCGGTGGCGGCGCCGGACGGAGGCCGTCCTTGACGCGGGTCGGGGGCTCCCGGTGGCGGCGCCGGACGGAGGCCGTCCTTGACGCGGGTCGGGGGCTCCCGGTGGCGGCGCCGGACGGAGGCCGTCCTTGACGCGGGTCGGGGGCTCCCGGCGCGGGCTGCGTGCGAGGAGCGGCGAGGCGCCCTCGGCCCGCCCCCGGGCCTCCGTCGGGGGTGGGGAGGTGGGTGCGCGTTGCCTGTGTCCCGAAAGCTCCGCGCGGCCGCGGCCTTGCCTTGCTTTGGCTCGGGCCGGGTCGGCCGTCGGGGGTGGGTGCGCTGTGTCGTGCGGCCTGGAAGCCCGTTCGCGGTCGCCGCTGTGGATGTAGCGGCCGCGGCGAGCCTTAGCGGGGCCCTCGGGAGCCCTGGCGCGGGCCGTTCGTCTCCGCTCGTGGCCGGGGCGTGGAGGCCTGCGGAAGCGGGGGTGCCAGCTCTGATCCGCGCCTTCTGCCCTGTTGTGCTTTGTAGATTCTCGGGACCTGAAGATGGCTGCACAGTCAGCGCCGAAAGTTGTGCTAAAAAGCACCACCAAGATGTCTCTAAATGAGCGGTGAGGCAGCCAACAGCAACTTCAGCTCGTTCATAAGAAAACATTACGTAACTTGGCCCTGGGGTCCAGTGCACAAAAACCAGTTTTAAACTAAGTACCAACAGAAGGCTACAGACCTCTGTTTTTAGTTGGATCTTATGTGGTACACAAAACAAATTGGGCGGTTGTTTCAAAACCCCTTGCCAGTAGATTTTTATGTTAAGCTGTCTGACACATTTATCTGGTGGGATGTATTTTAAAAGACTCCTCACACCCTCCCTCCTCTCACATGTTTTTTACGTTGATACAGGGGTGGTGCAGCTCGGTAGCATGGAACCTTGGCTGCAGTAGGTTTGCTGCCCAGTCCGAGGCCGGCAGTGCTGTGTCTGGCCTGTAAGAGGCAGGTAGCAAGCTGTGGATATGTCCAAAGGCCCCTGAATGCCATTCTTGGGCCTTGTAAGAGGCACTTGCTTTGCTCCATTTCTCCTCCTTTCAGTCCTGCTTTTAGTTTGTTTCTGTGTTGGATTCTTTTACAATTAAGTGTTCTCTTTTGTGCCGCTAAACTTATTTGACAGGAATAACAGAGGAGTGTCTTCACAAGCTGTTGAGTGATTAAAGTAATCTGATTTTCTCAGAAGTAATCGCTTGGAGTTAGGAAAAGTAATCCTTTCAGACTAAGAAAATTTAAGGTACTTAAGGTACAGATTTTATTTCCCAGAGCTCTGTATTGAGTGCCTCTGACCAGTGATTCCACTTAGTTGATGTTAGACCCCTGAAAGAGTTACTTGATTTTTTTTTTTCTTTTTTGAAGCATATGTGCTGCTGCTTATCTCTTAGGGTACGATATCGTGATTCTCCATGTTTACATGTTACTAAGCAAATAATACAAATTACATAAGAAGATAAGATGCACTCCTGTAATTCATATGGGTGTACTATTTCCGTGGGCTCTGAAGATGCTCTAGTCCTTCCTTATATTTGTTCTTACAGTGCACCCTCAGGCTCCCCCAAGATTTTGGCTTTCTTTGTTTGTCTTTGAAACTACATTTTCTGTCTTTTGTTGTCATCATATCTGCTTACTGCGTGTTTTTCATACCTTCCACCTCTCTTAAAAGCCGTTACCTGAGCCCTTGTTACCACTTTTGATTGAATGTGCTGCTGCACCTAGCTGCGTTTCTGAGTTTCTGATTCTTGCAAGTTTGTGGAAGCAGAGGAGTCTTTAACCCACTTCAGCCTTGATCTAAGTGTACCACTTTACTTAAAGTTCGTGGGATCTGGAGCTCCTGGTCTAGCAAGCCATGAAAATGCCAATAAATGTTTTGTAATAAAGCTTTTATTTAAACATCCATTCTGTTCGACCTTGAAGCTTTACTAATATGCTGAAGAACAAACAGCCGATGCCAGTGAATATTCGGGCTTCGATGCAGCAACAACAGCAGCTAGCCAGTGCCAGAAACAGAAGACTGGCCCAGCAGATGGAGAATAGACCCTCTGTCCAGGCAGCATTAAAACTTAAGCAGGTGAGAGGATGGGTCTTTATGCTGCAGAAGCAGCTGGTGATCTCTGTCAGGCAGTCCACTGAGGCTGCCAGGACATGAAGGATGATTGCAAGGTGGCTCAGGGCAAAAGCAGAAACTTCTCTGGAGGAAAGAGAAGTTCAGAGAATTCCCATTTTGTCAGGTACCAATAAGTAACTTTTTGTTGTCTTTCTCTTTTAGGTAGTTTGCCATCAGTGTGGCCTATTTCTGTGTTATCAATGAGTATATTAATCTCTTTTTTTCTGATCCTTTGCCCTTAAAATCAGTTCACTGGATTTTACCACAAAGAAATTTTGGTTTCTGTTTTAGATGACCTTCTGAAAATCCTTTATTTATTCCATGTTAAATAACTTACAAAAGAGGGAAATAATCTTATTCTTTCTCCCACAGCACAGGAAGTCTGAACAGCCTTAGCCAAAGATTTCCAATGCTAAAATATAGAAAGAGTAGGGTGACCTTCATCTCCACAGCACCTAAGTTTTGTCAGTAAAATAGAGGGAGAGCATTGAATAATTAATTTAAGAATTAGTGGTTCTCTGTCAAATTTCCAGTAAGAGGTAATCCTTACTCAGACCTGAAATAAAACCTGCTCTTTATTATTCATAGACTTTATATGCAAGTCCGGACAGTGGCTGTGGAAGGATATGTCCAAGCTGTGGCTGGGCGTCTGGAGGGCGATGCCATGCAACTGTAAGGACTTTAACTGGTAGCACTGCATGGCTGTGCATAAATTCGGCAGTTAAATATAACACCCTCCCACCCCCACCCTGAACTGTTGGGCTCACTGACCAAAAATAAACAAGGCCTTCTGCTTCAGCCGCCTTAAGCCATGGAGTTCTGTATTTGTCCCTGACTCAGGAAAGCAGTGAAAAGGGCCCCACCATTTTCCAAGAGTAGCTATTATAAATTGCTGAAGATAAGTCTCTGACACATCGTTCCAAAGGACCTTTCTAGAAGAAGCCTTAAGTATAGGCTGGGCAGAAAGTTGCCTCTGGAGCAGAACTATCTGAGAGAACTTTCCATAGTGAAGGAAATACTCTACATCTGCTCCCCAAATATGGTAGCCACTAGCCAAGTGTGACTGTTGAGCACTCAAAATGTGGCTAGTGTGATTGAAGAGCTCTTCAAATTTTATTTACTTGTAATTTAAATAGCCACATGTGGCTAGTGGCTTCCTTAGCACACTGCACAGCTCTGGAGTGAAAACAAGGTGGTATAGTAACATCTTTTAAGCTTGCTGACTGTGTTAGAGACGACTGTTGGTGGCAACAAAGGATTAGGAAGGGAGAACTTCTAAGCACTGTGCATTCTCCTCTGAAGCACGGATTTTGGGAGAATATACTCCGGATCATCGAACAGAAGGGATTTGTAGCATGAAGTCCTGAACTCCTACTAATTGTGTGCTGTCGGGAGTGATGCGACAGGCTCTTCAGGCTGGTTATGTGTAGGTGTTCAGAGCCTGTCCCTCTGCTTAGAAGCAGTTTATTATCTTGTGCTAGAAAGCTAATAATTCACAGCATGTGGTTGAAAAAAAAAAAAAAAAAACATTGGTAAGCCATTTATGGGTGAAGCCTGAGGATACACAGAATTTATTTTCATTCATACTGACTGATGGCTTTATAGGAAAACAGGTTTGCTGGGGCCTTGGTTGTGTTCAAGGCAACACAGTTACCTTTCCTTTGAAGGAATGTAATTCTCTGAGATGTGGTCTTACTAGTTTCCTTGAGGGACAGATTACTGAAAACCTCCATTAGTGGTATGTCCTTATTCTCAAATACAGCCCTGAGTTTTGTGATTATATCACCTGTCTTAATTCTAATGAAAGTTAACTTTCTCTCTGGAGATACATTTGCGTATTTTGAATTAAAGGTTATTGTACTGGCTTAATGGAGCTGTTTGCAAGGGGAGACATGGAATTAATAGCAATTTAAGAAATGTAAGGAAAGGAGGTTTGACTTTCTTGTGTTTATTTACATCTTAAGGTAAAAAGTGGACCGTCTGGAGATAGATACTCAGAGGAAAAATGGAACACACTGGCCTCTTTGACTGAAAAATCAAATCTTGTTTTTAAGTGACACGAATTCAAATGAACTTAAAATTTAAAATATTTCCCAGAGTGTGATGAACTTCCTATGGTGTTTGAGTAAGCCTTTGAAGACAGTGGTAGCCCTTGGGCAAGTATGAATCAAGTCGTATCGTTGTCAACCTGTGGTTCAAAAACAGAATCCAGGATTTGAAATACGGAGTCCTTACTAAAGCTTAAGTTCCGAGGAGTGGTGTATGGCTTCTGTAGCCAAACTTAGGTAATTTGTGTTGATGCCAAAGTCACAGGACCATAATTTAGCTTTCATAAAGGCTCTGGATCACAGTTCTGCTTTTATACCGTGTCCCGAGGCAAAGGCTAGTTTCTGGTTTAAGACCTTTGTGACATGTACAGCAGGTTATCTCCCTCCACACAGCCATCTCTCTTGCTGCTTTTTCTCTGCACTTGGAGTTGCTGAATGCCACTAGAATGCTTTTTTGATCTCAATCCCCCAACACCTTTTCTTCCAGAAGAGCTTAAAGCAGCGCCTGGGTAAGAGTAACATCCAGGCACGGTTAGGCCGACCCATAGGGACCCTGGCCCGGGGAGCAGTCGGAGGACGAGGCCTGCCCATAATCCAGAGAGGCTTACCCCGAGGAGGACTGCGTGGGGGACGTGCCACCAGAACCCTGCTTAGGGGCGGGATGTCGCTCCGAGGTCAGTGCTGTGTACCTGGTGATTCCTGGGCCTACCCCTCCCTTTTCTCTTGGGCTGCTTATGGACACATTTGTTTTAACATCTTGAAGCCTGAATTTGTATTAATATAATTAATAACTTTTGAAATCACATATTTTTAATAGTGCTGCATGTCTTTTCTCGATACCATTCCCTTTCTGATAATGTGCAATGGTGAGAGGCTATGACCTGCGTAACGACAGGTAATTCATGTCATCTCCATTCCGTCTAAACACCCTGCTGCTGCTTGAATCAAAGCACGTGCAAGTTCTAGAAATAAGTCAGCTCTAAGAAATATTTGGTCCCTTGGCCTGTATCTTAACTAACCATCTCTGTGCTAGTGAAATACACTGTAATATTTGGAAAAGAGAGGACAAGTTGACCCATAGCTACATGTTACATTTTGGGCACTGTTAACACTGTTCCCTGTGTTGTTCTTGTCCCTTGTAAGAATGTATTGAGAGCAGGAACCGTATCATTTATCTTTAAATCTACAGTAATGCTAGGCACTTACCTGATTATTCAATAGATATTTATTATAATGTACTTAACTAATTAACTCCCAGCTTCTTCCAAAAATGGGTTTGTGGTCAGACTTGTTGAATTGATTGAATAAAGAGCAGTTTGATCTATCTGTTCACACTTGGTGTACAGCTTGTCCCACCCAACCTAAAAATTAACTGAATTAACTCTCATTTAACCCTCACCGCCTTCCTTTGGTTAGAGTCTACTTTGTCTCTCTTGGATTTACCTGCATATACATTGTATGCCTCCTCTCCAAGGTCAAAACCTGCTCCGAGGTGGACGAGCCGTAGCTCCCCGAATGGGCTTAAGAAGAGGTGGTGTTCGAGGTCGTGGAGGTCCTGGGAGAGGGGGCCTAGGGCGTGGAGCTATGGGTCGTGGCGGAATCGGTGGTAGAGGTTAGTCAGCTACCAACTTCAGAGAATAGCTCCCCCTTATTTCTCTCCCTTCAAAACTCAGAGCCACCTTTCTGCACAGCTTCAAGTCATAGGCAGGCTTATTTGTTTGTCTTGTTTTGTTTTTTGAAACTGGCTTATTTTCTAAATTCACATGCTGGTAGTGCAAAAAGTCTGTCATGGGTTGTCTAAGAGCCAGTCAGGTACACATCAGAGCCAGATTATATTCAGTCTTTTTCCACGTTCTTACAGTTTAAATCATATTATTAAAATGACAGGATGGTCAGTTTGAGGTTTTACCTTTCTGTGTCCCTGCCCCACCACCACACACCCTATCCCATAGTTCAAAACCCCACTTTGAGTCTAAGAATAAAGAAGAGGGAGATGTACAGAAATGAAGCTGAGTTAAAAAGGATGATGAGATTGGAGCTGGATATTGACTTTGAAGCCAAGTAAAGTCAAGGGTAGTTTCTGTCTACAGGAAATCAGAGATTTTTTTTTTTTTTTTTTTTTTTTTTTTTTTTTGGTCAAAGTAGAAAGCAAGAAGGTACCGTGTCAGTTAACTGACTGACTTTTGTTGATAATGTTACCTTTGAGACTTAGTGATACTTGTTTTGTGACCTCATGACCCAGATGGAAAAGAATTTAATGGTGTTGCTGTCATTAATCCAAATCTCGGAGTTTTCTGATTTTAGAGCTTGGTGGAAAACTCTCAACAACACCTGTCCAAGGGGGTAGAAAATCTGTTCCTGTAGCCCCTGTGAATATCTGCTTTGGTCCTTTTATAGTGTGTGGTGGGTCTTGTATAATTTATGACCTTGAGATTGCCAAAGGATAATAATTGTTAGGAAAGGAAATTTGATAGCCAAGGACTTGGTTTCTTCTCTCCCATGATATTGTTGGCTTAATGAGTGAAGTACAGGCTAGTTTGGGTTTCAGGATGAAATAGTACATTTCCACATTATCTTGACTCTTGACCTGGTTTCTGAGAGAGCATCACAGGCTGGGCGGGGTGGGTGTCTAAAGAAGTTTTTCAAAAAGCTGCATATGTTTTGTTAAGTGAATTGAAACCACCTCTCAGATAACCATAATTATAACGTGACTAGAATCTGAGATAGAATTGGCTGGGACTACTCTAAATATATCCCCTGTCTTCTCACTTCGTTCCTATGTCAGAATAACTCCTCAGTCTCCCGATGTGGGGTCAGCTCATTAGGTTTAATAAATTTGAGGAGAGGTGAACTAATTTTCCAGAAAGATCTTCAATAAGCCTTACTTTAAAAACTAGCCCTGCACCCGTTTCTCTGTGCCCTTGTTACTTCCTCCCTAAGTGAGGTTATCTATAGTGTATTTTAATTATGAGCTTACAGTGGGTTTCAAACTTGAGATAATTTCTTTGTTTTAGGAGAGGTTGAGATTCTTTTAATTGTCAGTTACTTTCCCTTTGTCAACAGAATAAAAAGTCTTTAGCATTTAGAGATGAGCCTGTAAACAGGGATTCATTATGTGTGCTTTCCATGTGTTGCTTTCTACCCAGTGTGTTTCCTGTTTTTCCAGATTTCTCCTCTTTGCCCTGCCCTTTCAGCCTTTCTCAGCTAGGCCCTGCTGCTCTGAGGGGCATTTGCCGTAACACCCATTAAACCTACTTGTAACTGTCTCCTTTTTTTCCCCTTGGGCCAGGTCGGGGTATGATAGGTCGGGGAAGAGGGGGCTTTGGAGGCCGAGGCCGAGGCCGTGGACGAGGGAGAGGTGCCCTCACTCGCCCTGCACTGACCAAGGAGCAGCTGGACAACCAGTTGGATGCATACATGTCGAAAACAAAAGGACACCTGGATGCCGAGTTGGATGCCTACATGGCACAGACAGATCCAGAAACCAATGATTGAAACCTGCCCACCCTCCTGTGAGAGACTCTTGTTCAAAAGTCACCACATCTGTAAATGACCTTGAGATAACAGATGGAGAAGAAACCTGATTGATGCTGGAAGGACCTATCACAATGGGCTATGGACTTAACTCGCCACCAGTTTGTGCATTTAGTGTGTTCCTTTTAGTTTTTTGATACTGTGTTGTATGAAACCCTTTTTTCCTCTGACTTGGGTTTTATTTTGTTGTGTTTGGGGTTCCCCCCCAATCGCTCTGACTTCTCTTTGAACATGAATGTGGTGGTCTTGTGGCTAGAAACCCTCTTCCCACCTCTGCCTCCCTTCATCTGTCAGATGCTCTCGTGTTCTAACATTTCCTCTTATCATCTCTTTGTCCCCACGAGAAAAGCCCCAGAAAGAACCCATCAGTGTTCCTTCCTGATGCCTGGGTTTCTGAGAGATGGTTCTGTTCTACATGATCTTTAATATAAAGCCTCTTAGAAGTGTTTAGAAAATGTGGAGCTCAAATTCTGCCACATTGATACATTAGTGTAGTAAGTTAGGGACACTGACGTAGCCACAGGGCCACATAACAGGTTACACGTGGTAGCACCTCTGATTTGATTAAAGTTACTTCTGTGTACATTGACACCACATAATGAGTGTGCTGGGCTGGGTGTGTGCATTTTCTACCCCGAAATGAGATGTATAAACTTAGCTCTTGGCTTTGTATCCTGTCCAAAGAGCTACTGTTGGGTTGGCTTACACTTGTAATAGGAAATGGCCATTTGGTTTGGCAGATGCTTCAGAGAAAGGGATAGAATGATGGCAGATGCCTTTTAGGAGTCAGAACATACCCATGCTGGAATGCTATTGTCCTTATGTTTATCCCAAACCAGTCCTGGGCTTCTCCATTCACTGGCTTTGTTTGGCCCTCTTTTTACTTCCCTTTGAAGGTTTAAGTTCAACTATATTCTGTCAGCTGTTCCCGTTTTCAGTGGAATCTTGTATTTCTGGTTCATCATAACAAGAAATCATTCTCAAATCTAGTCAGGACTTTCTCTTTTGTTGGGCTCCTTGAAATGCTGTGGTCACTATAGCAATACCCTGACCTACCCCTTGTGGGATTCAGAGTCCTTTTCTTCATAGGTGTATTAAAATCAGGGGGGGGCGGGGGGGCAGATAGAGATAGGGCCTTGATCCAGAAAGTGAATTTGCCCTCTGAGTAAGCCTGGCAGAAAGGTGAATATCCACACAAAATAATGTTCTGCCTGTTTGGCCCATAGGAAGCTCCAGCGGAATGATCTTAGGCAATATTCTGGACCCTGGCGCTGGTGTCTCTTTTCCCCTGTGCTGTGGGAAAGAACCTAACCACCTCCAACCAAACCAGTTGCTAGTGAGACACATGGTTCCCTGAACTGTTGGGAGGTGTGTGTGGCATGCGGGGAAGGGAATTTTGGTCCAGACAGCCTGGACTTGAATCCTGTCTGTATGACTTGGGCTGCTTAGCCTCCGGATTGTAAGGCAAGTGGCTTAGTCCTGTAGGAGAGTGAGGTTGGGACCAGGTGGTGGTAGAGGACAGCCACGTTGAAAAAAAATCCCACCTGGTCTGGTTTCTGAGTGTGCTATAATCGCTTCTCTTTATTAAAAACGGACTGGGAGGCTGGAGGTCTTTAGGTCAGACAGCGGTTCATAACATGTAATTGGAAGGGGTGGAAAGTATTTGTATTTGGGCAAGTCCAATTGTAAGGGTAGTCCCTTAGGTAGACCCAGACTCTTGTCAGCTCCCAAGACTTGGGAGGGAAGTGCTGCTTGGCAGTGGACGGGGTGCCCTTTTCAAATACATCCACTGGTTACACCAGGCACTTTACAGGACACCTTTGGGAAGAAGGAAAGGGAAGTACAGGGTGAGTAGGTCCCTCACCCTCTTCACACAACTTCCCATGATCCATTTCTCTGGGGTTGTTCCCCAGTCTCCCTAGATAGCAGGTGCATGCCCCCAAATAGGATATTTATTTTTAGAGTGGGCACAAGGCAGGTGGGGAATGCCAAGCCGACTTGCCACTGAGCGTGGAGCCCAATGCTAGACTCCAGGACACCAAGATCATGACCTGAACTGAAACCATGTCAGATGCCTAACCAACTGAGCCACCCAGGTGCCCCAATCTGGTGCATTTTGAACCACTTCTTCCCCCCCACCCCTCTTTTAATCCACTGAGATCCTCTTAAGAAAAAGATTCACGGAAGGATTTGAGGCATACGTGAGGAAAAGGGAACTTGGCCAGGTGGGGGGGGAGGGGCCACAGTGCCCCACACACATCTATGCCCATGTCTCCCCTTTTACTTGCAGATAGCACCACGTGTGGCAAGTTTCAGAGTAAAAGCAAAATGTTGAGGGAGTTGGGAAACGGGAGAGCAGGACGCTGGAATGGTGGCCCTGAGCCCGTACTGCCCTCCAATTCATTGATGGGATTTGCTTGGGAGGTTCATTTCAGGACAGTCCCTGAATGTTCCCACCCCCTGAGCTGGAAAAGGGAGGGTGGGGGGTTCTGCTGAGTGTGGTTTAGTTGCTCCCTCATAGGTCAGCCTCTTTTAGCCCAGACTGCCCCTTCCCAGGGTGCTTCAGCCCTACCACCCTGCTGACTCCAGGCTCCTCTTGCCCACAGGTGGCCATCAGGACGACTTGCCCCATGTCCTCCACACCCATCTCTTGCATGGGCCCAACTTGCAGCGGAGTGAGCTAAGACCAGGTTGGGGCCGCCGTTTCCAGCATCTGTGTGAATCTTTACTGTGAACCCTGAGGGGGTGGGGGTGGGGGTGGGGGGCCTGCTTTGAAGGTCCCAGTGGACCCTCCACTATATCCGTCCTACCTCATGAAGAAGCAGGATTCCCAGCAATGGGCACAAGGAACTCTACCAGCTTCAGGCCCTCCTGGCCCTCCTGCTGCTCACTGCAGTTCTGGGCATCTGAGCCCTGTGGCCACTTCTTCCACCTTCAGTCCCAGCTGAGTGTCCAGGGTAGAGAGGAACAAGGAGATCGAGGCCAGTTCCTGGGTCAGCCTTTCACTCCTTCAACCACCATCTGCCAAGGCCTTGCCATGCAGACACTGACAAGGTGTGGTTTGGTAGGAGGGTTAGGGCCCCAGCGGGCTCAGTAATGACTCGATCTCAGGCATGTGAGTTCAAGCCCCACTTTGGGTGTAGAGATTATTTTAAAAATTTCTGTAAAGGGGGGCGCCTGGGTGGCTCGGTTAAGCCACTGCCTTCGGCTCAGGTCATGATCCCGGAGTCCCGGGATCGAGTCCCGCATCGGGCTCCCCCTTCTCTGTGGGGAGCCTGCTTCTCCCTCTGCCTCTGCCTGCCACTCCCCCTGCTTGTGCTCACTCTGTCTCTCTCTCTCTATGTCAAATAAATAAATAAAATATTTAAAAAAAAAAAATTTCTGTAAAGGGGGTCTTGGGACCACAGAAAAGAGATTGGTGAGCTGGACCTTGAAAGTCAAGGGAAAATTTGGGGTGCCTGGGTGGCTCAGTCGTTGAGCAGCTCCCTTTGGCTCGGGTCATGATCCCAGCTCCTGGGATTGAGCTCCACATCGGGCTCCCTGCTCAGCGGGAAGCCTGCTTCTCCCTCTCCCACTCCCCACACCCCCGCTGTGTTCCCTCTCTCGCTGTCTCTGTCAAATAAAAAAAAAAATTTTTTTTTTATTTATTTGACAGAGCACAAGCGGGGGAGTGGCAGGAAGAGGCAGTGGGAGAAGCGGGCTCCCCACTGATCAGGGATCCCAATGCGGGGCTTAATCCCAGGATCCTGAGATCATAACCCTAGCCGAGGACAGACGCTTAACCGACTGAGCCATCCAGGTGCCCCAAGCATCTGACTCTTGATCTCAGCTCAGGTCTCAATCAGGGTCGCAAGTTCAAGCCCCACATTGGGCTCCACATTGGGCCTGGAGCCTATTTAAAAAAGAAAAAGGAAAGTTTCACAGAGAAGGGGGGAAGAATCTCCCAAGTACAGAGAACAGCAAATACAAAGGTACAGAGGCCTAAACGTGTGTTGCATGCTGGGGAGTGAGTGTTCAGTGGTCCTCCAACCTAGGGTGGGAGGCACGACTGACAAGGTCAGGTAGCCCAGAGCCTAACTGTCTGCTAAAGAGCTTGGGCTTCATGCTTCGGGTGGTGGGGAGCCACTGCGGATTTTCAGGTGGGGTGATATACACAGTGCTGGTGCAGATGGGTTAGCCGAAGCCACGGTGGAGGCTGGGAGACCCTCACGGCTGTTGTGTTAGTCCAGTCACCGGAGTGAACCTGAATCTGGGCGGTGGCAGGGTGGCTGGGGAGAAGCCCACACCCTCAGCGGTTTCCGCGCTGACATCTGGCTGTCTTGTCAGACATGAGAAGGCAGTCGGGGCGGCCTGAACAAGCTGCCAGGGGCAGCAGGGCATGTGTGGTTCCCTCTCCCCTTGATGACCCCATGATGTCTGATCTGGAACCAATGGCAGCGTTGCTGCCCACCATCTAGTCCAGCCTCCACCACAGCCTCCCACTCCTCAAGGTTCCAGGCCTCCAGGCAAGAGGGCCGCTTCCTCCCCTCTTAGGGGCTTCCTGGGGGCTCCTGTAGCTCCAGCAGCAGGGCTATGCCCAGATCAGCACTGTAAGTGGGGCCGGAGAGGCTGTGACCTGGGACGAGGACCTGCCTGGCCTCTGTAACCCCTCTCCTCCGACAGTGGACCGTGCCGTCCATCGCTCTGAAGCCCCAGTACCTTTCCCACCAATTCCCCAGGCAACGTGGGAAGAGCCAGAGAGCCCCAGCCTCCACTTCCCTGGGCTCTTGGGGACCTCTTAAGGATTCGCTCCCTCCCCACAAACACAAAGTTGCCACAATGGTGTATCATCTGATTTCTGACCCAGGACCTTCTCTAGACACCATCTCCAGCCTCTTATTTTTTTTAGATTTTATTTATTTAGCAGCAGGAGACAGAGCGAGAGAGGGAGCACAAGCAGAGGGAGTGGGAGAGGGAGAAGCAGGCTTCCTGCGGAGCAGGGAGCCCGATGTGGGGCTCGATCCCAGGACCTGGAATCATGACCTGAGCCGAAGGCAGACGCTTCACGACTGAGCCACCCAGGCACCCCTATCTCCAGCCTCTTCATAGGAATCTCCACACCCCCAGGCTCCTGATGTTCTGTCTCCCATTTTTACCTGGTCATGCCAGTGGGAGAGAGATTCCAGGTGCCACCTGGCTGCCCTACACTCCTGCCTGGGTGGGCTCTCAACCTGCATTGTACCCTGACTAGTGAGGGCCCTGACTGACCACATGGCCCAGGGGCAAAGGACAGCAGGGTGACCCCTGAGGGTGGACACGGAGGCCAGGTCAGCTCTGGGGCCTGTGATGGTGACAGCAGTCCTCAGTCATGGTCCTCTTACTGTGTAGGGCAGGCTGGCCAGCAGGCCTGGTGTAGATAAGGCTCCAGGAAACCTCTTAAAAATATTCACTTGATTATTTAGTTTCGATTTATTGGATTTCTTTACCCTTTAGTGTAAGGTGACTATCGGCTTAAGATTTAAACATATCCATGGTGTGATCTTGTGGTTTATAATAAGAACTATGTATTTAGGGCCCCTGGGTAGCTCAGCTGGTCAAGCGCCTGCCTTTGGCTTAGGTCATGATCCCAGGGTCCATGATCCCATCGGGCTCCCTGCTCTGTGGGCAGCCTGCTTCTCCCTCTCCCTCTGCCTCTCTCTCAAATAAAATCTTAAAAAAAAAAAAAAGAAAGAAAGAAAGAGAAAGAAAGAAAGAAAAAGAAAAAGAAAGAAAGAAAAGAAAGAAGAAAAGAAAGAAAGAAAAAGAAAGAAGAAAAGAAAGAAAGAAAAAGAAAGAAGAAAAGAAAGAAAGAAAGAAAAAAAGAAAAAAGAAAGAAAGGAAAGAAAGAAAAAGAAAGAAGAAAGAAAGAAAAAAGAAAGGAAAGAAAGAAAAGAAAGAAGGAAAGAGGAAGGAAGGAAGGAGGGAGGGAGGGAGGGAGGGAAGGAAGGAAGGGAGAAAGAAAGAAAGAAAG